CACAGAAACAAATAATCACAACCCTAGAACTAGATAAATTAAGATTTACACTTAATTGCTTTGCTTCTGATACCAAACTGACGCGGAACCCTATCGGCAAATTTTTTTCGCCAAGAACTCTATGACAAGATTTGAATAGATCAACAAGATCAAACTAAACCCTCCCCTATGGCAACCCCTCGTTTATAAAGAAACAGAAACACCAATAATACGAAGTAACAAGGAAATTAAGATAAACCGCCACAACACGTAAATTGAATTGATAAGTTTACCTTGATTCTTGATGCAATAAGAGGAATGCAATCTCACACTCTCTCCAAAGCAAAGAACACGCCTAAGCATGAAAGAAAAATTTCTATTTCATTGATTGATTGAATAAAAATACAATATAACAAACTATTTATACTAGTTCTAAGAGGTCCTGATTCTTAAAGGATTTAGAATAGTTAGTCTAACTCAGCTAAGGATTATGATTTAGTAAATCTAAACCAACTAAGGATAAGACTAGTAAATCTAAACAACTTTAGGATTTGGTTAACTAATCCAAATCAACTAAAGATTGACCAAATAAATCTATCTAAACCAACTAAGGATAAGACTAGTAAATCTAAACAACTTTAGGATTTGGTTAACTAATCCAAATCAACTAAAGATTGACCAAATCTAAACAAATAAAGGAAAATCACCAAGGGGGGCCGAAATATAGGAGGCCCAACCCATTAACATTGTTAAAACTCAAAATAAACTAACTAATCTAAGTAGAGGCAGAGGCGGGCACGGTCTGGGGCGTGCTAGTTGGCACGGGCGTGCTCCAAGGCAAGTGTTTCCTCGCGGGAGTCAGAGGCTTGCACGGTCTGGGGCGTGCTAGTTGGCACAAGCGTGCTTCAAGATAAGTGTTTCCTCGCAAGAGTTAGGGGCTTGCACGGCCTGGGGCGTGCCACCTTGCACGGGCGTGCTAACCTAGCACGGTCTGGGGCGTGCCATATGTTGAAATTCAGATTCAACATGTGCTTCCATTAATGTGAGAAACTTAGGTGTTCCTTCAAGTTCTTCATAGCACTTGTTGGAAGCAAGGTCATGGAGCTCTTGTGTAACTTGTTCTTGAATGTATAAGGACATGGTTGCTCCATATTTCTTTGCACGGCTCCTTGTACTTGGTCCACTAGGAAGTACTAATGGATTGCCATTGTTGTGGTCCTTGTTCCCTTGAGCCCCATAGGTGATTAGTGATAGTGGATCCGTATCAAAAGACAAAGAAGATAATAACCATTCATAATATAATCCCTCACATACTAGTGTATAGCAACCTCAAGCCACCCTTTTAAGCACAAAACATAAAGACTTGGAATATTTTCGGCATGCAATAGATTAAGCTCCATAGAAACTTAAGTTGTCGCACATCTCAACATAAGGCTAACTTGTTAAGGCCAATACTCTAGGATTTGGTGCAAACATTCGAAAGGAAAGAAAGAGCATTTCTCTCTCTCTCTCTCCTTTTTTTTTTTCTTTTGCAAACTTTGGAGAACTCATGTGCATTACCACTTTTTTTGTTCTCCTTTATTCTTCCTTTTTTCTTTTTTCTTTTTTTTTTTTTTTTCTTTTTTTTTTTTTTTGAGAACACACTGTGCATTACGTTTTTTTCCATTCTCTTCTATCTCCTCACTTCTGTGTATTCAAACCATTCTTCGCCTGATTTGCGTCTTTTCAATCCCCAAGTACATGCCAGCCACAGAGTAGTGCCTTCATAGGTTAAACAAAATTGTTTTTTTTTTTTTTTTTTTTTTTGAGAACACATGTGCATTACCGCTTTTTTCATTCTCTTCTATTCCTCACTCTGTGTATTACCATTTTCCTGATTTGCGTCTTTCAATCCCCAATACATGCAGCCAAGAGTAGTGCCTCAAATAGGTTAAACAAAATTGTGAAATATGCACAAAGTGAATTAACACAAACAAATTGATGATTTCACCTCTTAACTCAAGCCTAAATAAAGAATGATTAAGGAATACCATCCACAATATGGAGAAGAGGGAAATCTATTATTAAGGTTACTATTACCTTACCTAAAATCTCAGAAATTCAGAAGATAGCCTTGAAAAGGTTACTCTATGCATAGAAGAAAATATTGCTTGTAATGATTTAAGGACTTGGTTCTCTTTACTCTACAGAAGGAAGCAAAGGGTTAAACCAAGATTCTGCTTTTCTTCATCAGGTTAGTTAGTATTTAACAGGTTGTCTTATCTTTTCTCTTGTAGAAGTTTTACTGATTGAAACTTCTTTTCTTTTTCTGTTTTTTCTTTTAAAAAAAGGATTATGGAGTAGAAGATGGAGTTTTGTGTGGAGTTTCTTATGGTCATGGAAAGAATGGTCATATAGTGAGAAAGATTGTAAGAAACAGATTGCCATCACTGTTAATAAATCAAAAGAATGTCTTGGCTAAGACAAGGCCAGTTGAAGATGGCAAAAATAAGAAAGTTGAAGATGATTTAATACCAAGCAGAAATTTTTACATCTAGAAAGAGGTTTGTATTAATGCTTTCAAGGCTATGGACGAGGAAGTCAAGCTTCAAGAGAACTTAGATTGCTCTTTACAGTGGAACCACAGCAGTTGTTATAAGACAACTAATCATGAAGTTTGGAAAAAAAATTGTGCAATTTATGATAAACTTATGTTTATGTTATTTCTTATCTTTTTGTGTTGGATTTAAATTTTTTTTTTTTTTTAAAAGGGTGAAGATCTTATCATAGCTAATCTTGGAGACTCAAGAGCAGTGTTGGGTAAAATAAATAAGAATAAAATTATGCCAGTTCAATTAACCACAGATTTGAAGCCCAATGTACCAAGTAAGAAATTTCTCTCTAATTAATTAGAAGAGATTATTGGTTTCTAGCAAAGTTGAAAACTCATTTAATACCTCCAACTTCAAATGTCTTGCTTAAATTTAATAAAACAAATGTGGCTGAGAATATTTATAGATTTATGCTAAATATATTTGGATGTGCTGGGAACTTCAACTAATAACACAAAGTGTGCTAATAATTAAAAGATCTCAAGAGTAGAGTAGTAGCGCAATGTTTATTATATGAAGTGGGAACTTTATTACATGAACTGCAGTATTTTTGTTCTATTTTGGGTGTTCTATGCTTTATTTTGAATTTTCTTTTGGTATTGCATTGCGGGAAGGAATTTAAATATGATTTCAAGTCTAGCTCAAAAGCAAAAACAATTTCTGCTTCTGAAATTGGACACCGCAAATCTAATCGGAATGCATTTGTTTACAATGCGTTCTGTAGTGGTTGTAGGTAATTAGTTGTTGTTATTATTATTTTTAAAAAAATGAGGTCATTAAGTAGTTTAAAGAAGTAATTATTTTTCCAAGGTGTTCTCTTAGAATATATGCTCTGATAATGAAAAAAGGGTTAAAATTGGTATCGGAACTCATGAAAAGAAAGTATCTTGAGAAGCTATTCAAAAAGGAAATTGAGAAGCTAAGAAAGAGGTAAACTTTATCGTGTTTAATTTGTTTACAACTATGTATTCAGATGCATGCATTTCTTAATAGGGGTAGACTAAAAAGTGCCTGACTACAATACGACATTGATAGTATGTTTTAATTCTTTGTAAAAGATTAGATATTTTATTGTAAATGTAGTCTATAAATGCATTGTATAAACTACTGTAAATGTTTTGTTTATTGTGCGGGCATAGACAATAGCTTTGATGCAAGTTCTATTCGGATATTAAGAAACATTGATACACATGACCAAAAGTGAGGCGTGCACTTAAGGTTTTCTTTTCTTACAATTAAATAACAAACTATTATAAACGTATATTTTTCTTTGAATGATTTTGATTGAGGTCAAAACTCGAATGGTCATAAGTTGTCCATGCAGGTATAATGATGTGAATGTATGAAGGCTAAATGACTTTATGATCAAGGCATATATATTTTTTTGGATTTTACATTAAAATTTTCTTTTGCTTCCAGTTTTATTTATAGAGGCCATAAATCATAGACAACCTTGAAGACAAAATTTCATTCTTTCTTGACGAAGATTTTCATCCCTCTGATCCTTCCTTTGATTGTGAGGATGATGGTGATGATTTGCAGCACTCCATGGAAAGAATCTTATATTGGGAATCACAGAAAGCCTTCCTTTAGGTACATTTTTTTTTTTACAATGCATTTTGTAATGGTTGTAGGTAATTAGTTGTTATTATTAATATTATTTAAAAAATGAAGGTCATTAAGTTGTTTAAAGAAGTAATTGTTTTTCCAAGGTGTCTCTTAGTATACATGCTCTGATAATGAACAAAGGGTTAAAATTAGCATCGGAGCTCCTGCAAAGAGAGTATCTGGAGAAGCTATTCAAAGAGGTTTAGAAGCTAAGCAAGAGGTAAACTTTATCGTGTTTAATATGTTTACAACTGTGTCTTCAAATGCATGCATTTCTTAACAGGGGTAGACTAAAAAATGCTTGAACGCTTAATTCTTTGTAAAAGATTAGATATTCCATTGTAAATGTATTCCATAAATGCATTGTATAAACTATTATAAATATATGTTTTCTTTGAATGATTTTTAGAAGTCAAATAAAAAATGAGTAATAAGTTGCCTATACATTAGACATTCAGGTTCAAGATATACGTGCTCGGTTGCTGATTGACATGGTTTGATTTACCTGGCGAGTGTGTAAATATAATTTAGTAATTTTACAAATGTACCATGTAAATTATTATAAATTTAATGTAAGAATATACTACATAAATTATTGTAAATTTATAAAATTATTTATTATATAAATTTACTCAATGCAAAAGCAACATTGCGCAGTATCCATAAATCTTAGTATTACTATAAGAGAGAATAAAATATTTCTGTTAATACTACTTGAGCGTGCGCATGCGCACATATATATATATGTATATAAACGCAATAACCGAGTTCAAGTTCAAGCAGATTTTTTGAATTCTTACAAGTTGTCAAACTCCAACATATTTTGGTGCCTACAAATAATCCTCCCACAATTTAGAAGAAATCTAGACAAATGATTATAAACCCAACTTTATTAGTGATGAACAAGGTAAGCTATACAGATGGATAAATTAAGGAAAAAAGAACCACAAAATCTCCCCACATTTTATTGAGCTTGTTTATAAATCAATCTCTACTCTAACCACCAAAATCACACAGCAGCACCATCATTGAGAATCAATTATGTCAACTTTTCTCACCCTACTCACACAAAATCTCATCAATTTTTCAATCACTGGAGATTTCAGATTCTTGAGCAAATGTCAATAATCTCCCAGTTGACAACACCGGCTTGCCAGAACCAGGAAAGGGTTAGGGGGTTTACAGCCTTACATGAGGAGAGGAGCTCATTTCCGTACTGTAAAATGAATCATCCCCGGTGATTCCATAAATGTTTTCATCCTTTTCTTCATCCCACTTAAGGACCTCCCTTATGTACTTGAATGCCTCATCAACTGAGGTGCGCTCCAGAGCTCTGCTCTGCCACACAAACAACTTGCGGCCACTGATTGAGAAGTATAGCTCCTTGAATTTTACTGCCACATAGTAGTAAGCTTGGTGAGCCAGAGTCTGATTATTGTGATGGGCTTTCAATGGGCTAAAGTCCCTGAACCACTCACAACTGGACAAAGGAACTTGGTTGATTTTGTCCTCAAAGGCATCATATTTACTCAGCAAAAGCACAAAAGGCGTGTTCCTAAAACAGGGGTGCCTCGCCAAGCTCTCAAACATGTTTCTGCTAGCCAGCATTTTATTACAAGACTGACCTGAACCATACGCCCATATTTGATCATAGTCACTCAATGCAACAGAAAAGATAACCGCTCTCACATCTTCAAACATTTCCAGCCATTTGCAACCATCACGCAGTCCCTTGGAATTTATGCGAATTAGTTGGTACCTGAGGCAATATGAAATTCAACACAACACGCAAGATTGAATACCTACTAGCAGCACCACTGTAAGTACAATATTAGAAGAATGAATGAAACCTTACTTGGCCAGAGGAGGCAGGCAGTCAAAGTCTTCATTATATATCTCAGACATGGGGCTTCTATCATCAAATGAGAATTCCATAAAGGCCAGGCCATTACTCGGAGTGACTCCTTCAGCATATAAGATGTCCTTCTCTGAAGGTTCATACTCATTGCTTGATATTTCAATGGCCTGAATGAAATGATAACCATATCAGCCAACGGCATAATTTTGTCAAGAAGTAACCTAATAAAATATAAAGTTCTGATAAAAATTTCCTACAGTTAAAACAAGCAAAAAGCAATCCACACATTGGTGCGGAAGTATTAAGTGCTATTTTATAAATTTATTGTCAACATACAACAATTTCAAGATATTTAATGAAATGAGATTAGCAATAATTAATAATTAATAATATTATAAATGAAATTAATTTCACTAATGATTTATTGCTTAAATCATAGTTTAAAGACAATTAATATTAGTAATTAGCAAAAAGATAAATGCATGAAATAATATAGATATTAAGCAACATTAATTTCTTTTTTTCTATATCAAGTGACATTTACATTTAGATAGTAAGGTCAAATTTAGTTTCAAACCTATTATATATGGAAAAACATACCTACACCTGGTGTATGACTCACCTATAAACTAAACTAATTACAAACAATATTTTGATTCAAATGAGGATATTTTTTATCCAATGCTGGGGAAAAAAGGACAAAACAGTAATACTTAAAAAAAAATTCCTTTTATTGGCTTAGTGTATGGGACCATCCATCATCGGGCGTAAGCAAGAAATTTCCATTATATATAACATAAAAAGGCTAACTTTTTTTTATTATCTCCTTCTTCAAAATATTTGATACAACTAAAAGTCTTTAAAAATTTATGTTGATACTTAATTGAAAAACTAATGATAAAGTCGGAGTTTAAGATATTCAAAACTAAAATGACGAAGGTTTTAGTTTCATTTATATGGTCATTATACTTGATCTTTTTAATCATTTGTAAGCTGGAGTTTGCCTGCTCATGTTTCATTATACAGTTAAGACAGGTATCCAAAACAACCATATAGCTCAGCATATAGCTCAACATAAAATATCCTCAGAACTCATCAGAATCTTCTATAAGCCCTCATCACTTTCAGCTCAACCATCTAAGTAAGTTTACCACCTCCTGTTTTGTCTCGAGTGGCCGAACCTCAACCCCTTTAAAAATAGGTCGTGAAGTTCAGGGACTTGTACTGGCCCTTGACTAGGTTGACTGCTCTTGATTTTCAAGAGTTCCTACTAGTTTTCCTAACACCATATGCACAGCACCTCCTTGTTAAGACACTATTATGATCACATACAAATTATTTCTGTTTGGCAACAGATTTTGCTGGAAAAGCAGTTGAGACACAGAATCATTTGGAAATCAAGCTTTAGCATCGCAAAGTGTGAAAAACAGATTTGCTGACAGTGTTACCAAGGCACTACCTAAGGAAGTTTGAGAAGTTTCAAGAATAATGCTTTGCACATAGAAGATAATTCTCAAGAAATGTTACTGTTGAAATCTTTGTAATTAAAGTAAATATTATCTTTCCTAGTTTAGGTTTATTTCCTATTTAAATTTCTTCCTATAAAGGAACGATTTTTGTATACATAAAGAATAGAGTAGAGATTATGTATTCATAACACAATATAGAGAAATAATAACTCTCTTCTTCAAAACTAGATGGTATCAAAGTCGTTGCCGTGATTTTTTTGGCATCGGATTGGGTCTGCGCAGCTCTGAGATACACGTAGCGTTGCCAGGAGTTGAAGTTGGTCATCACCACCCACCTCAAAAGGAAGAGCAACCGCTGATCAGCCCTCCGTCGCCATCCGACCACACACGTATGCACACGCGCCACAGACATTTCTAGCCTTTCTTTACGTGCCGGCACGTGCGGTGTTTTCTGGTGACCTCTGCCGATGATTCTTGTTCCGGTGGTCTCGTTTTGGTGCTGCGACTCAGAACCACTGGTCCCTCAGCCCCAAATTTGACTTTGATTTTGTCCCTTTTTGATTACATCCCACGTACTGCTTGTGTGATTTCCTATTTCCAATTTCCAAATTTGAACCAGCTATCAATTTTCCTTTAGTTTGACAGTATAGTTGACGAAAAAAAGGTAGAGGTAGCTTTTTCACTTGGAGAGTGCTTCACTTCAAATTAGTCCATTGAAGTTAGATGACACAAATTACCTGGCTTGGTCTCGGTCCTATTTATTATTCATTGAGCTAGAGGTTTGTAGGGATACCTTGACGGTGGAGCGCAAAAACCAGATTCGGCACATCCGACTTTTAACAAGTGGAAATCAGAGAACTCTCTTACTATGTCTTGACTAATAAATTCTATGCAGCCAACCATTTCACGAGGGTATTTACATTTTGATAAAGCTGAGAAGATATTGGATGCCGCTTCATAGACTTATTCCTAGAGTAATATTATTTCACACGCAGGTCAAAAACATTCCCATCATCTCGCATGGGCCAGCTACCGATCATTGGTTGCCTATTTAAGACACTATACTCAAGGTTGTATCATTCATCATATATAAAGGTTTATATTTTCTGCTATTGCGACAAACTCAGAGTTTTGCGCGCGTAAGAACCAGTACTAGAGAACAACGCAACTGGATCATTTGGAAATCAAGCTTTAGCATTATCGAAAGTGTGATAAAACAGGCATTTGATGACCACAGTGGAATCAAAATAACCTTCTACCGATTCAGAAGGCACTAATCCGCGGACTTATAGGTTGAAGTTTGAGAGTTTCAAAGATGATTATTGCTTCTTTGCACATAGAATCATAATCCATTTCTCTAAAAGTAAATGTTACTGTTGAAATCTTTTGTAAATTTAAAGTAAAATGGTATTAATCGTAATATTTCCCATAGTATTAGTTTCATTTATACTTCCTTCTAGTGTATATATAATCGTCTCTCTAACCTATGATTAGTAAGGAGAGAAACGGATATTTTTGTACTACCAGTAATAGAATGAAGAGTAGAAACGATTAAATTGATTTATTATTTCAGGATTACAATACATATATATTTGAAGTAAATAATATTACTCTCTCGTTACTCTCAATTACATTCTCTTCATTTGCACTGAGGTAAATTAACGGAGAAATGGAAAGTCAAGTACTAGAAAGACAGGCTAAACCCCATGAAAACATTGAAATTAATTGAGATTCATTTACGATGTTGGCATTGGATAATTTACCATACATGGGTAAAGAGTTGAATTTTATAGAAATTAGGAAGTTTTTAATAACCTGATGGGTATTTTCTTTTTTGTGGCGATCGAGGATTGGGGTCACTGACATGCAGTAATTTGAGTTTACGCACTGGCATTGTTAGATTGGTTGCACGATGGATTGATAGGATAGTATGAAAGTGTTATAGTGTTGCGATTCCTTACACCGTAAATTCTTGATTCCACCTTCTCTATATAGAAAAGGAAGCACACGGCTGAGAGTATCCTCCCTTGCATGTATCTCCATTCCACCCACCCATATAACTCGTTCCACCTCATCTTCTAGAGGACAGTCTTAACACAGGTATGCACCCAACGCAGCACACCACAACTATGCATGATGGAGTGGTAATATTATGCCTTTCCTATTTTAACTGTTTTGCCTTAGTGCACGCTCGACAGGAGTCGTTCTTACATTGCGTTGCACTACTCCTTAATACGGCTCGAAGGACTGAATGATTCATTGTATCTTCCCGAAGTGGTCTCGTTCTCGAGTAACATGTTGGCGAGAACTTACCGCAGAAAAAACTCAACTGGTCTCCACACAGCTCTCAAATTACATTCACAACAAATTATTGAACTATTTATAGCTAATTGATATTTCGATCCTTCATTATTAATGCATTACCTTTCATCTCCTTATACGTATTCGCTATGAGTCGATTCCTATTTTCTCGCTTAATTTAAAATCCAATCTCTATAATTCACTTAATCAATAAACATAAATATATACCTCTATATGTATTGACAGTATTATAATATAGTTGATTCTAGACAATATATTAGGTTATGGAGGTAGCTTTTCTCATATGTGCAGTACGCTGCTTTCAATATACAATATTAGTTTAAAACACCATAATTGTAAAAATTAGAGGATGAACGAAATGTGAGCATGGAAAATGACTTAGGGGTCTGAGCGAGTTTTCCTATTGTAAATATTAAATATGTAAGCAACAATGAGTGTTGTAGGTGATAGTATTAATAAACTACATTTAAATATGAACTGGAGAATAGGAAAAAAACGCAAAATCAAAGATATTACGTCGCCTTAATCTTCATCCACAAAAAATACCAAAAATTCTACCAAAATTTAACTTATTGAAACAATAATAATGTGAAGATAGGTACCGCAGAAACTATTTTATATAACATTAAGTAGGAAACTCAGAGCCTATAGAAAAGTTTCTATATTACACTTATCGATTTCTAGACATAATTAAAACTAACTATGCTATTCCAACCAATTATCACAGGTGTATTGGTGTATTAGTCATCATTGTGGATATATTATAGCTGGCAAGTAAGAGAGGGTTGGTATGCCACCGCTTACACATAAAGACTTCTATTCACAGCCATAATCACATGGATTTAACTTATGCCGTGCAATGTTGGTAATTGACTCATGAAGAAATAAGGTAGACGACACAAAACGAATCAATGGAAGAAACAATAATTCTATTTGAGAGGGAGACTGACTAGTCTGGATCCCAAGTTCTTTTTCCTCCCGTATTTTGCTCAGTAAAAACTGCAGATAGGGTACAGTCATTGCGATGAGCAAGGACAAGAAAAGAAATTCATATGAAGTGTAGTATATATTTACCCATTTGTTATTCTACTTGAAAGAGAATATGCATCTTATTCAATATGACATAAAAGTAGATACCATAATAGATACCAACCGACCTTACTCAAAGATCATCTAAAATGTGTATAATGAAGGTAAGAACCGTAATTTTGTCTCAACACACTGATTTTTCCTTGCACTGGTCCGTCAGTTAAGAAAAGGTAAAAGACAGTGACAAGAATTGAGCCTAATTTAAATCAAGTTAAAGATTTGAGAGTTCCATTTCACTGATATCCTTTTAGAGAATTTAGAGAGACAATAAATTTTATTTTGTCACTATCATAATGTGCACATTTGCATATATCTTCCTCCCAATTATTCAAAATCGTCTATCCACCACGAGGAGACTTGGAAGATCCGCCTAATAGTTGGTTCACATGATCTTACGAATATGAATATAGGTAAGAGAGTTGATGACATAATTCTTCGTGTTCTTAGAGCGAACCCAAATATTACAAAGTGGTCTTCCAGAAGAGTGGGCCTATCCTTGACCGGGATTGATACGCACGACACAATTTAATTTATGGATGACTAAATCAGCAGTAAGTATATTACAAGTCAATCGGATAAGAAGGAAGATAATACCATAGACTAGGTATATAAATATAATTCATATAGGTACAGTACCAACACTAAGAGCGCGACAGAAGGGAAAACCACTGACTAAGAGATAATCTCTCATAACCAAACTCCTACATATGCTATATATCTTATTATATTATTATTATACTCTCACTATCCACCGTATGGTGGATTGGTTTATCTGATTGAAACCAGTAACACGTATTAGCTTGGTAATTTGCTTATTTTCTTGATAAAGGAATTAATAATATAAGTATGCCTTGAATTAACGACTAGTTGTCATCGGCTTATAGAATTATCTAAATCTCTACATCACACACATTCATAGATCTATAACCGCGCTCCCTATTATTGGAATATACCTTTCCTTACCAGGGTACACTCATTAGCACCAAAAAATTAGGACAAAAAAAAATCACTCCTCTATATAGAGTTATTATTATAAGAATTTAAGAGAGAGCAAACAGATCAATAATTTCAACTTACATGGTCTCCTCATAAATTAGCAGTTCTCCAATCACAATCCAGATTGTCTTATAAGTATGCATTAAAGGCATTCAGAACATTTATAATCCGCATATAGCGGGATGGATACATTGTTGTGGACCCAATGATTTTTCGGCCACATATGGCCTAACAAGGGAGATATCACATTACATTGTACATTTCAACTCAGTTGACGCGGTTCTCGCCGCTATTCTTCTCTATCGTTCATTCATTGACTATATCCCATTAATTGGCTCTATCCATTTGTTAGCTTATCACAAAAGCGCTTAATTGCAAGTAATTGCTATTTTATCCTGAACTCGTTATATGTGATAAATACATGATACTTAACAGAGAGAATTGTATGATTGACAGTTTGGTAGCTTGCGCGATGGAACTTGATATTTAACGGCTGTGGGAATGACGTTTGTCATTTTTGCAAATCTGAGTACTAGTCAAGCTTTGTTATAATCACAAAAGCGCTTAATTGCAAAGTAATCTTTTATCCTACTCGTATATTTCAAAAACTGAACTTAGAGAGAATGATTGGCAGTGGTAGCTTGCGCGATGGACTGTATCTGTGGGATGACGTTTGTCATTTTGCAAATCTGAGTACTAGTCAAGCTTTGTTAGGAATATCTAGAAATCCTTCCCATGAAGTTATATCAATGGCATATGAGATTAGGACATCCTTCTTTTTCTGTTTTAGGACATTTATTTCCCACTTTGTTTACTAAGTGTGATTTTGATTTATATGTGATGCTTGTAAACTTGCCAAACACACTAGGCATTCTTATTCTCCAATTAATAATAAAAGTTAGGTACTTTTTGCTACTATTCATTCTGATGTATGGGGTCCCACTAAAATTGTCTCTATTTCTGGTTATAGATGGTTTGTGACCTTTATAGATTGTTGCACTAGATTGACTTGGGTTTATTTGATGAAAGCAAAAAATGAAATTTTTTCGTATTTTCAGAACCTTCCATAAAAGGATTTGTGCTCAGTTTGATGTGCATGTTAAAATACTAAGAATTGATAATGGCACTGAATACATGAATGCATATTTTCGTACCTATTTAGATTCTATTGGTATCATACATCAAACTAGTTGTGTTAATACTAGTGCTTAAAATGAAGTAGCTGAAAGGAAAAATAGGCATTTACTGGAAGTAGCTATGTCTCCTATGTTTACTATGAATCTTCCTAAACCATATTGGGAGATGCTATTTTGACTGTTGCTTACCTTATCAATCGTATGCCTCTTCGTATTTTAAACTTTAAAACTCCATTAGAGGCTCTTCAATGAAAAAACTCTTATATTGTACTCCCTCAGTTCTTTTTATATAGGAACAACTAATTTTTCACCAAGATTAAGAAAGTAGTTTAACCAATTTTTTTTGTCATTTTTTTCCTAATTTTCCTAATATCTCTTTTATTCCTCCTTTAATATCAATGCATGTCTTAAATTATTTGCAATCTTCAATGAGATTTTAAATGTTTAGTTAGAATGAAAGGAATACAAACAATTGCAAAAATGAAGTTAATGCTCTGACATGCAGAGAAAAATTCATTTTTTGTCCTTTATTTGGAAAAGCTGTGCGGAAATATGAAAATTTGTATTCATTTAATCTTCCGACCGCCTTTGATTATTGTAAACGTACTTTAAATATTGCACAATTTTTTAAATATTCGGCAAAGTCCATAAGAATTTGTTTCAATGTGGTTATTTTGCTTCAATATTCGGCGAAGTCCATAAGAATTTGTTTGCGACTATCTTGAAAATCTCCCACACTAAAAGCTTCACAAAGGACTAAAACAAGAGTAAGATAGACTTTTTACATTGGCATGGTTCTCAAAGATATCAAATTAGGCAAAATTTCGTATATAAGAAGCACACCCGACATGGAAACTTTTCCTATATAAAAAGAACAGAGGGAGTACCTCCTAAAGTCTTTGGATGTGTTTGTTTTGTTCATCAGAATGATCTAGGCAAATCAGATCCTAGAGTTTTGAAGTGTGTTTATTGGCTACTCTAATACTCAAATGTTATTGTAATCCTAGAAAATACTTTGTGAGCATGAATGTTACCTTTAGAGAATCTGAGTCTTATTTTCCTTCCCAGTCACCTCTTCAAGAGGAGAAATATCATATGGAAGAGGTGATGGATAACTCTATGGATATTCCTTTCCAGAAGAGGATTCCTGTAGACATAGATAATAAAAGAGACCAACCACCCAAATCTCTAGGAAGAATGGATAGACCTGATTTGAAAACCTACATACAGCGGAGTAATACAAATACAACCATGGAGCATGAAACCTCTGATCAATCGTCCTCTCCAATTTCAAGCCCTAAAAATACAGAAGAACAAGAACCTGGTGAGTCCTCTTTAATCCCTGTTGATTCTGATCCTAATATTGATTCTAAGCCTTCTAATAATGACCTTGATAGTCTTATTTTTCTTGGAAAAGGAGTTAGAACATTCACTAAACATCCTATCTCCCATTTTTTCTCCTCTAATGCTCTGTCCCCTTCTTATACTTTGTTTTGTTTCTTTCTTCTGTTTCTATACCGCAGGGCAAGAGGCATTACAGGACTCAAGATGGAAGGCTATATAATGGTTGAGGAGATGAGGGCTTTCGCAAAAAACGAGACATGGGATCTTCTAATTGCTTCACCGGGAAAGCAGCCAGTCGAATGTAAATGGGTGTTCACAGTTAAACATAGGGCAGATGGTTCAATGTAGAGGTACAAGGCTAGAGCGGTAGCCAAAGGGTTCAGTCAGACCTATGGAGTTTATTACCACGAAATGTTTGCCCCCGTAGCCAAGATGAACACAATTAGAATTTTGTTCTCTTGTGCAGCCAACCTGGACTAGGAGTTACATCAATTTGATGGTTAAAACACCTTTCTATATGGTGATTTGAAAGAAGAGGTGTATATGGAGATTCCTCCTAGATTTGATGATGACAAGACCAGAGGAAAAGTTTACAAGCTGAAAGAAGTCATTATATGGGCTAAAGTAAAGCCATGTTTTCTTTCATGTACATTCAGAGCGATGCTTTTAATCAATTCCAATTTTGTTTTTCACCAAAATGCTGGTCAACTTTACCAATGCAATATACCAAAGTGGAGGGAAGAGAATTTTAAAGCGCATCAAAGTTCAAGAATTCATATATTTTTTTTTGTTTGTTTTTCTTTTAATAAGTTTATATTACTTTGCAACTTCAACAGAATTAACGTCTTTTGCTTAGTTTTTAAATTAGTATATATTATTTTGGAGTTTCTATTATATTTTATTATTTGAAATTGATATGTCATGTGTAAACCGTTTTAACAACCAAACTAAACCGCATTATTTCAGTTCAATTTAGTTCTACCTATAATTTAAAACGGTATAGTTTCAGTTTGGAAAATTCACAAGCCGCAATTTTCAATTTGGTTAGCAAATTCCTTCAAACTGCCTTAAACTAGACCGTGTATACCCCTAGTACCTCATTATATAGCCGGCAAGCAGAATTCAAGCTCATGTATCAGAGCTCCTATATGTTTCTACAAGCTACCACAAACACCTAAACAACACAACAGTCGGTACATATTCGTATAGGTTTCTCCTGCAGATTCCTTACTTCAACTATTCACGATCTGCTCATGCTAGAAACTCAAGCCTTTGCTAGAAACTCAAGCCTTGCTCCTTCAAACCTTTTTATTAGAAGGTCATCTAGATCCATTATATATCCAGGTATGGGAAAATACCTCGGGACGTGCTTCAAAGTTTATAGTATAGATGTTGAGTTATATATTTCTATGCCAGCAACAAAAACAATTAAGCAAACCAATTTCTTCAGCAAAGCATACAGTAGAAAATGTTTAAAGAAATCAATTGATGAAATATCCACACTCAGTTTATTCCATGCCTCTCCATCAAAGATTCAGTCATTTAGAAGAGATTCCTCCTCCATTTCTTGTTATATAACATATACTTTTTGAAATTCTATCTGTATGAAAAATGAACGCTCAAAGCAAAATAATCAGATAGATAATTCTAGTTGGTTGTTCTAGTTGTATGAATTCTACATCTCCTGAAATATCAATAATTCATTGAAGTAAACAAGAACAACCAGAGATAGGTATAGGTAATACTTAAGATAGTAATAAACAACCCAAACTAAAGCCAGTTAATGCATACCTTATCTAGAAAATATTTGGCAACATCAGGAAGATGCAGTTCATCTCTTCTCTTGTATGTCTCCTGAATGGCAGGATCCTTCCATATCTCATCAACAATAGGAGCATACTCTCTTGTTGCGGCAGGAAAAAATGCATCTAAGTCTCCTCTAGCCATGATATCCAGTAACCAGTCAGAAAAATGCTTGGATCTTTGGTTGATCGAATAGATGCTGGGCTGACTTGCTTCATGTTCTGTATCACCTGAAATTATTCCCTCAACCAGTTAATATAGCTTACTGAATCCATCAAGTAAAACTACCTTTGTACATATTTATTTCTTTAGGGTCATGGATCCTCCTAAAAAGGGTTGTTTTAACATGTGCAGTTTTTCAAGAGTAAAGAGTCAACTTTTTTGTCGCACTGAAAAAGAGCCCACAACTTGGAAGAAAATTATCTTCTTTTTCACAGTGAGCAAGAATAATATTTTTATTCTATCAATCTTATTAGTGTTAAGTAGTTGTTCATGAAAGGAAAATTATCATATAAGACTAGTATATCCACTGATTTTAACAATAGTAACTGGGAATGGATGATTACTTTTGAATTTCCCAGCTACAATGTATAAAAAGAAGAAGAATGTTTGCAAGTTGGCCCCTCTATTGAAAATAGTATTGAGTTATGTTAAGGAGAGTTAGAAGTCTTTTGTATATAGAGTCCTATTAAGAGTTAGAATCCTAATTATTTTGTAGTGTCTGGTGTGTGTATATATATACGTGTTCCTAATTGATGAAATACAACAGATATATTTTTCCTTAACTGAGTTTACATGGTATCAAAGCCTTCGGCTCATTAGCATTCTGCGATTGCTCTGTTTTTTTGCTGGTTTCTGTGATTGCGCTGTTTTTTGCTGGTTTCGGTATTGACAGTCTAGGTCACCTACCTAGACTGTGTTTTTTGTCTCACCGCCACCCAAGGAAGCAAGGCGACCAGACTTAGTTCTCCGGCGTCGATTTGCTGTCAGTAGTCTACTCCAGTGGGTATTTTCTGTTCCGGAAACATTCAGTAGGTGCCTTCTCAGTTTTTTGCTGCTGTTAGTTTGCTGGCTTTCTCGGTTTCTTTTGCTACTATTCTGTTGGGATTCATGCTATCATTTGGTGTTTCTATCTCTGAGTTTCTGTTGGGCATCTAGTTTTATTAATTATGGGTACTAAAACTAAAGCTGCTATTACTGTATTGATTCCAGCAATGACTAAAATCACAGAACATAAATTGAATGAGAATAATTATTTAGATTGGAGCAAGACAATTAAAATTTATTTGAGAGTTGAAAAAGATGATCATCTAATAATTAATGATCCACCAACTGGTGACACTAGGTAGAGTTGGCTAGGGAAAGATGCTAAGTTATTTCTATAGGTTCGAAATTCTATTGACAATGAAGTGGTTGGTTTAATTAATCATTGCGAATTTGTTAAAGAATTAATGGAATATCTTGAATTTTTGTACTCGGGAAAAGGTAATCTGTCTCATATGTATGAAGTCTGCAAAGGATTTTATCGGGCCGACCATCAAGATAAGCCTCTTACAGCTTATTTCATGGAATTTAAGAAGATTTATGAGGAACTTAATGTTTTATTGGCTTTCAACCCCGATGTCAAGGTTCAACAGACTCAGTGAGAACAAATGGCTGTGATGAGTTTTCTTGCAAGCCTTGCTCCGGTTTTTTAAACTGCCAAATCACAGGTTCTTTCAGGCAGTGACATTACCTCTCTTCAGGAGACTTTCATTACATTACTGCATACTGAAGGATCTCATACCCCTTCACCTTCTGAAAATAGTGTCCTTGTGAGTCGTAATCAGGTAACTAGGCAGCCAGAAAATAGAGGAAGAGGACAAATCAACAGGTTTCTTTCAGGCATGACATTATACCTCTCTTCCAGGAGACTTTCATTACAATTACTGCACTGCATACTGAAGGATCTCATACCCCTTCACCTTCTGAAAATAGTGTCCTTGTGAGTCGTAATCAGGTAACTAGGCAGCCAGAAAATAGAGGAAGAGGAAATAACCATAGTAATGGAGCAATTAATCGAGAGGTGAGCATTATTATCTACCATTATTGCTATGAACCTGGGCACACTAAACGGTATTGTAAGAAACTGATAAATAAGCCGCCAAAGGCAAATATGGCCACTCAAGATTCTGCAGTTGCTTCTTCTGACAGCACTGCAACAATTTGCGCTGTGGAGTATGTTGAGCTCTCCAGATACCGATCTCCTAAGTCTGCTGATTTCTCAATTGCTACTGCTGCCAATTCAGGTACTCCTAATACATGTCTTATGTCTACCTCAAGAATGGGTCATTGATTCTGGTTGCACAGATCACATGACAGTTAACCCTAGTCTCTTATCCTCATTAAAAGAACTTGAACAATTTAATCGTCATGTTAGTCTAGCTGATGGGTCCACATCTTCTGTCAAGTGTATTGGCAAGTATTGGCACCGCTAATCCCATCCCATCTCTTCCATTGTCTTCTATTTTTTATTTGCCTCGTTTTTTGTTGAATCTAGTCTGTTAGTAAAATTACTCGTATACTGAACTATGTGTCAAATTTTATCCTACTTATTGTGTATTTCAGGATCTTTTGACGAAGCAGATTATTGGTAGAGGATGTGAATTTAGTGGCCTTTATCTTCTGGATGAACAAGTTTCGTTATCTCTGGCTTGTGTTGGTGCTCTATCTCCTCTTGAGGTTCATTGTTGTTTGAGCCATCCTTCATTGTCTACTTTAAAGTAGTTGTGTCCGCAGTTTCAGTCTTCATCAGTTTTAGAATGTGAATCTTGTCAATTTGTCAAACATCATCGTTACCTTTAGTCCCTCAAGTCAATAAATGGGCTTCATCCCCTTTTGAGTTATAGTTCATTCTAATGTTTGGGATCCATGTCCTCTTATTTCTAAAACTCGATTTAGGTATTTTGTTACTTTTGTGGATGATTATTCTCGTGTTACGTGGTTATTTTTAATGAAAGCTCGTCCTGAGATATTCTCTATTTTTTGTTCCTTTTGTGCTTAAAACTCAATTTAATACTTCTGTTTGCATACTGCCAAGTGATAATCCTAAGAATATCTATCTAGTTCCTTCCAATCTTATATGTCACAGAATGGTATTCTTCATCAAACATCTTTTGTTGATACTCCTCAAAATGGTGTTGCAAAAAGAAAAAATCGACACCTTCTTGATGTTGTTAAGGCACTTCTATTCTAAATGGAGGTCCCTAAACACTTTTGAGCTAATGCGATTTCTACTGCATGTTTTTTTGATCAATCACATGCCTTCTTCTGTGATTAATGGTGAAATTACATATAGTGTCTTGTTTCCTTCTAAGCTTCCTAAGCTTCTATTTCCCATTAAACATCGTATTTTTGGTTGTACTTGTTTTGTTCGTGATGTTCGTCCACAGGTCCCTTCGTTGCATTTTCCTTGGGTATTCTCGACATCAAAAAAGGTATCGTTGTTTCTCTCCCGATCTTAACCGTTATCTTGCTTCTGTAGATGTCACATTCTTTGAGAATACTCCATTTTTCCTTCTATATATAAGAGTGAAGGGGAGGATGATGAGCTTTTAGTCTACACTATCCAACAACTTCCTAGCTCTCCTGCTCCTCCTATTCTTGTTCCTGCTCCTGCTACAGCATCTGCTGCTCTTGTTCCTATTCCTGCACCAGCATCTGCTCGCCCTCATGTTGAACAAGTTTATTCCAGAAGACCAAAGACTCTTGACTCACTTCCCCCACCTACCGGTTCAACAGAAGATTTGGTCCCTTCTGTTGTTATGATCATCTCAGTCAGACCTTGACCTTCGAAAAGGTAAACGCAAGTTTACCTATCCTATTTCTTCTTTTGTATCTTTCTTTCTTCATTTCTTCGTTGGTTTGTTGTAAATAACCGTAGACTCTATTTCTACTCCTAAAACTGTTGTTCAAGCTTTCTCCCATCCTGGTTGTGTGCAAACAATAAAAGAGAGAATGGCTACTTAATACTAATGGCTATACTAATGGTACTTGGGATCTTGTGCCTCTCCCTGTAGGTAAGAAAGCTATTGGTTTTAAGTGGGTTTTCACCGTTAAAGTGAATCCTGATGGGTCTGTCGCTCGTCTCAAGGCTCGTTTAGTTGCTAAGGGCTATTCTCAGATTTATGGACTTGATTACTCTTAACACTTTTTCTCCTGTAGCCAAATTGTCTTCTGTTCATTTGTTTATTTCTTTGGAAGCTACCTTAGATTGGCCTTTACATCAGCTGGATGTTAAGAATGCCTTTCTTCATGGGGACCTTTAGGAAGAAGTTTACATGGAGCAACCGCCAGGCTTTGTTGCGCAGGGGGAGTCGGGCAAAGTGTGTAAACTTCGCAAATCTCTTTATGGTCTAAAACAGAGTCCTCGAGCTTGGTTTGGTAGATTTTACAAGGTGGTACACCAATTTGGCACGCAGAAAAGCACTTCTGATCATTCTGTATTTTTCATAAGTACTAAGATTGGTTTGACTCTACTTGTGGTTTCTGTCGATGACATTGTTATTACAAGTAATTCAGCCAGCATTATATCACTCAAGTCCTTCCTCCAGACTCAGTTCCAAACAAAAGACTTAGGTTCATTAAAGTATTTTTTGGGTATTGAAGTGTCCAAGTGTAAGAGATGCATCTTCTTATCTCAGAGGAAGTATATCCTTGACTTACTTAAGGAAACTGGAAACTTAGGTGACAAGCCATGCAGTGCTCCAATGATTCCTATTTTGCAACTTATAGCTGATGGTGAGTTATTTGATTATCTTGAGATGTATAGAAGATCGGCGGGAAAAATTAATTATCTTACGGTAACACGTCCAGATATTGCTTATTCTGTGAGTGTCTTAAGCTACTTTATGTCGTCTCCTACGGTTATCCATTGGGAAGCTTTAGGACAAATATTGTGCTACTTGAAAGGTAATCTAGGTCGTGGCCTCCTTCATAGTAATCATGGGCATTTGGACATTGAGTATTTTTCAGATGCAGATTGGCATATTCGAAGGTTGATAGAAGATCAACTTCAGGGTATTGTATCTTTGTGGGTGGAAACTTGATATCATGGAGGAGAAAGAAACAAAATGTTGTCTCTTGACTCAGTGCTAAATTAGAATATCGAGCTATAGCACAGTCTACTTATGAAATAATTTGGATTCGCCAGTTGTTAGAGGAAATTAGTTTCAAGACGTCTTTGCCTGCAAAGTTATCGTGTGATAATCAAGTTGCTCTTCACATTGCATCAAATCCGGTATTCCACGAACGAACGAAACATATTGAGATTGATTGTTATTTTATTCATGAAAAAATACAACAAGGTGTTAACTCTACAGGGCACATCAAGACAAGTGAATAGCTAGGAGATATTTTCACAAAAATTTAAATGGACCTCAGGTGGACTATTTGTAACAAGTTTGGCATGATTAACATCTATGATCCAACTTGAGAGGGTGTGTGTGTGTGTGTGTGTGTGTGTGTGTGTGTGTGTGGGGTCTTCTATATATATAGATTATATATATATATATATATATATATATATATCCCACTTGATGAAATACAACGGGTATATTTTTCCTCAACCGAGTTTATAGGTTACAAGACTCCAAGCTTCACCTTGGGGGAGGCAAATTGCATTAGGGATTTGGAATTACAGAATGATCAATAAATGCATGTAGAAAAGTTGGTACATCCTTTCATTTTTGGATGATAGGGAAATTCAATTGTTTTCTAATTTTGTTTTCACAACTTTTGAGTCTTTTTCCCAAATGTGCATCTGTTTAGCTCCCTGTTAACAAATACTATATTGATAAAGCATAAAAAGAAGTTGGCAAAATTTAAAAAACAATTATTAAATTAAATAATTAAATAGAAGAAAGAACTAAATTAAACCGAAATAAGAGACATTGACAACATAAATAAGAAAATTTGGAGGTTGGAATACAATGCCTACTTGGAAAGTGGTAGTTTAGTTTATATAAACCACAGGAAAATAATGTACATTATCAAAAAGAATTAGCAACGGGGTTAAGCTCCAAATTAGTAGATTACTTTTCTATCATTAAGTTATGATCCAAGCCATAGAGGGATGAATTGAATTGAAACAGTATGGTAACCCTTCATTGCATGACTAAGGATTTTTAAACTCGAGTATTTTCATTTTATTGTCTGATACAAGAAATGTCTAGGTTTATTTCCTCTTTTTAGTTTAGAGTGGTGCCTTTTAGGAGTATATTAGTTCAAATCTTAATCAACACGTTCAATCTTACTATGCTCAGAATCTGCACAACCATTAATGTTCTTAGTTTAATCAAACATTAGGTTAATGATGATACCTTTAATTATTCTCAAGAGATTTTTTGGAGGAGATATTTTATGTTATATTTCCCCATCATCTATAAAATATCTACTCTTGATGATGCATAACCAATTCATTTTTCTTAACCAATTCATTTTTTTTGCTTTTTAAATTTTCTTTGTTCTAGAACCTCAGTGATCAAAATTTAGGAAATGAGATATTTTACTAGGTCACTTAATCAATTTGGATCTTTCAACTTTCTGCTATATTTCTAGAAAATGCTTATAGAATTGGATAACAAAATGAGGAGGTTAGGATCCTAGTTGCAAGACAAGGTATAGGACTCGTCTTGGATCCCTCATTGGAAATATGGGACCTCAATGTGGGGTTTATATGAACTTGCCTCTCCAACATTAAAATCTAGCTTTTGAGCTATTGTTCCTCCAAGGTCATAACCATTGGAATTAGTGCCAACCACCGCTTCTCCAAATTGCAATTGAGCGGCATGGATGGTGACGTCAAAACTGTAGTGTTCGCTCAGGCTAAAAAAAAAAACTAGTGTACAGCCACCCTAGCAAAGCCAACCCGTCGTGGGCGCCGAGACTGGTGGAGCATAGTGGGATGTTTAGGATCCTAGTTGCAAGACAAGGTATAGTACAGCCACCCTAGCAAAGCCAACCCGTCGTGGGCGCCGAGACTGGTGGAGCATAGTGGGATGTTTAGGATCCTAGTTGCAAGACAAGGTATAGGACTTGTCTTGGATACTACATTGAAAGTATGGGATTTCAATAGTAGGGTTTATATGAATTTGTACTCTCCAACCTCATCGACTTACTTTTGGAGTATGGTTCTCCCAAGGTCATAACAGTGAAAAGCTGAAGTTTTCTATCTAATGTTTAAATATTTAGTTGTACTGCAATTATATCTAGAGTTAATACTTGTTCACTTTAGCTAATATGTCTAGACCTAATAACACTGTCTCCATATGCATTATAAAGATTATGAGGTATATCGCCATTTTTTACTCATTTTACTGTTTTATGCTCTTTTTGGAGTGAGCATTTCAGCATCTTTTGCAAGATAAGGTATATCAAGAGCTTCAAAAGGGATTAGCACAAGTTCAATTTAGCAGTTTTGCTACTACTTGTACTTGCTTTAGGGTCTAAATTAAAAGGGACATGGAATACTAAATGTTATGAAATTGCAGTACATTTGCAATTTTTTTGAACATACAGTCAAAGAGGAACTCTAGGATTTGAAGAAACAAAACTGCCCATGTGATCAATTTGAGATAAAAGAATATTTTTCCTTAGCCGATATTCCACATGAATATGCAACTGAAAGACATTATTGTGATAGTTGTTTCCAGTTTCTTCAATTTTCTTGCTACCTCTTTGAACTTTTATCCTCCACTTTGTATTTCCATACGTTTCATTAATAAATCTTTTAAATGAAAAAAAATCATAAATGAGATAAAAAAAAAAAAAGGTGAAATTACTAGCAGTGAAACCTGAAGCAGATTCTTCAGTATTTACTGCAGTGGATATAGTTTCCATCAAAGCTTCCTCTTCAAACCTCTCTCGTCCTTCAAGTAATATGCTAAGATATTTGTACATGTTACTTTGTATCATAAGCTTGATATTCTGCAACTCTTCTGGAGTGAACTTATTCCCATATAAAAATTTTGCCTGTTCCAGAGGGGATAAGAAATATACAACAGTCATTCAGTGAAACATGACAAGACACTAAAGTACAATATTGTTGCCATGCAAAGAAATAAAGCTATTGACGCGTTGTCCTTTCAATTAACATGTTTGAAAAAGAAGCATGTACAGAAAAAGACAGACACCACAAGGGAAACATTTTCCAACCACTAATTAAACGGCAATGCAAAAAATTGCAGACTAGGGTGAGGATAATGTAATAAACCCAAAAACAAAAACTGTTTCAGGAAAGCACTGGCAGTATCAAGCTTACCTAATATGTTACCAAATACCAATGACTAACCTACACCAATATCTTTAGAAATTAAGCAAATAAATAGATCTGGTCTCAGGCCTCAAGCCTCAACCAAGCTTAAAAGCAAGGAATAGGGTCTTAGTGACATAAGAGGAGCACACAGTGACGGATGTACATTAAGAAAAGAGGTGTCAATTGACCCCTCTTTCTTTATAAATTTCCCTTAAATACCTATGAATTTTTTAAAATTGACCCCTCATAAAATTAAAATAAAACTCTTTTCATAATATTTTATTTGCATATTGACCCCAGAAATTTTTTTCCTAGATTCGCCACTGAGAGCACATTAGACAACATAAAACAATTAACCGATTTACTTTGATAATAGAATTTAAAAAAATAGTAAATAAGTCAAACAAAATAAATGCTTGTGTTATGAACCAATTTCCAGGTCAGCCCAGAGCCTATTTCAGGAAGAAAAAGATTGAAAAGAAAAATTCCAGCCAATTAGCAGCAAAGGATCAGGATCAGGAAGATAAGCATCAGTGATTAGAGAGTTGTACTATAAGAAAACAGTTGTTAGAGACTTTTACTAGGAGACAACAGCTGATCGTTTTAAGTGATAAGTAAGATAAATCCTATAAATAGGGGAAAAGAGAGAAATAAGGTATCAACAGTTTTTTTTTTTCTCTAGTAATCTGACTATAGAGGCTGTGAGCAGTGACTGGCATCCTGCTAGTTGGCTGGAATTTTTCTTCTCAAGTTTTTTCTTCCTGTAATAGACTCTGAGCTGACCTGGGCTCTGGTTCATAACAGCTTTTTACATATATGTGAAATGAACCAAGGAAGAAGCTCTGAGATATGAGTGGACCTGCTTAAAAATGGTACTTGTTCCAGATCCTTCCAACCCCAATAAAAGAAGTTTCTGGACTCTTCCCTGTTCCAAATACTCAGGCACTGACCTACCTGAAAAAGTAGTTGGATCTTCTTTTGGCCCAAAAGGACTTCCAGGTGGTACAGGCAGTGAAAATAATGAACAGATGAAACGAGTTGATGCCTGCCTACCAAAAATCAAATGCCAACTGTATAAAATTCAATTCCAAACCATTGGTTGAATTTGGAACTTAAATATAAAAAATTAATATCCGAAGATTATGAGACAACCTTCCCCCATATATTTCCTTTTATCTTGTTTTGGCCTTCTTCTTCATAGGATCCATCGTCATACACCCAAAAATGTGTATCTCGTGGGCACTGTACCTTCGCTAGCTGAAATGAATTACAATATGAATTTAAGTCAAGCCTCATCCCCTGAATCAACAGAACTATCATGAAATAATGCAGTTACCAATATACAAACCTATCATCTAAGTTTGTGCAACAGAAGAGTAAAGATATTCCATTTAAGACATTAAAACAATCAGTTTGAGTGGTATTGTTACTTCCACAAACAAATGAAAACCAGAACAACTAAAATTTCGTGGCTATATGTAATCAAGTTAGCAGATCATAAGTAAAGCGCCAAAAAAACTTAAATAAACCTAAAAAAGAAAAAAATTAGATAATGCACAACTGTATAGCACAAATCCTCAAAGTTATTTGTAAGATACAAGGTGATACGATGTATATTCATTAAAAACAAGATGCAATACATGTTCCTGAAGCAATCATTAGTTTTAATATCATAAACTGCAAACCTTAACTTCATGCATCAGTGGACAAAATTATAATGTAATATGAAGATCTTAAAATGTATATCAAGAACCACAAAACTGACATTACGAATGCACAGAGTAGCAATCCTCTGTTGTTCAGGCCTCAAGATATGTTACTAGTGAAAAAATATATATCCAAAAGATATAAAAGAAAGATTAGAAAAAAACAAAAAACAAAACACAAAAAGAAAAGGCTCTAAAGGGGAATATTTAGCTTTATATTAACAGTGAAATCAACTAATTTTTTAGCACAGAATACCAGTTCAACAGAGAAATTTTAGTATTGACTAGAGTTACTTCATTTTATGATATTACGTATTTGCATTAGCTTCCTATTCTAAATTTGCATAATACTTCCTATCAAGGTTTATGCTTGTATATAAATACTGCTTTGTACAGATTATATAAGTGTGAAATAAGCATCAAGTTTTTTCCTCAAAACACTAAAACAACATGGTATCAAAGCCAAATCAGGCCTGACTTCCCTATTTCAATTTTTTACATCTGTTTACAGTTCTGAAAAAGCAAAGCATCGCTGTGATTTTTTCCTCTTTTCTGTTTTGAAAAACAGAGTATTGGTGCAAACTGAAGTTGTTGGATCTGTAGAGGTGCGTTGATGACACCACCCAGCCAAAAGCGCGTTGCTGGAACCCTCTCCTCTCACCTTCGAGTACACTCAACTGTCTAGATGCTTAGTACACACGCCAGCAAATGAACAGTTTTTTCAGCCAGCTCTCTTGCCAGAACCTACACCAGACAGGTCACACAAGGCCAGCAATCTTCCTCAGGTACAGTTGTTAGCCTGGGTCTCATATGAATAGTCTTTTGTGTTTATTTTATGCATGAGAATGTAGGTAAGCTAAAACCTAGAGCCTTTTAATGTGTGTTTTTGGGTAGTTTACTACTCAAAAGAGGTATAGGTTTTATCATCCTCCATCTAGAAAGTATATTGTCAGTATGGTGAATCTCCTTTAACTTCTGATGATTTTAATTCTACTTCTATTACTAATGATTCTGATGTTCTTATTGCTATCAAAAAAGAGTTAGAGCTTGCTCTAGACATCCTATTTCTAACTTTGTTTTCTACAGCTCTATCTCCTTCCTATAGAGCCTTCCTATTGTTTGTTGCTTCAGTTTCTATTCCACAGATTTGGCAAGAAGCATCTTGTGATCCAAAATGGAAAGAAGAAATGGTTGAAGAGATGAAAGTTTTGGCAAAAAATGAGACATGGAAAATTGTTACTCCATTAAGCAAGAAATCAATTGGATGCAAATGGGTGTTTACAATAAAACACAAGGCAGATAGTTCAATTGAGAGGTACAAAGCTAGATTGATTGCAAAGGGCTTCACTCAGACATATTGAGGGACTATCAAGAGATTTTTGATCCTGTTGCAAAAATGAATACTACTAAAAATGAAGATTTCTCATCTTACCTCAGAAAAACAATTAGTTGATGTGTTGACCAAGGGTCTTAATAGCAAATCATTTCACACTTTAATTTGCAAGTTGGGCATGGGTGATACCTATGCACCAAGTTGAAGGGAAGTGTTCACTAGAGTTACTTCCTATTTTATGAAATTCCATATTCCTATTAGCCTCCGATAATAGGTTGGCATAATACTTCCTATTCTAGGGTTATATTTATACATAAATACTTGCTTTGTATAGATTATCATAAGTATGATAATTAGGAAGAGAAGAAGTCTTTGAAGCACATTGCCTGATTATTCCCTCAAGCTCTTGGGGATTAAATAGTATGAAGAATGATATAAGGAAGGAAATCAATACAAACAAAATACAATCCTTAATTACAGCCCTAATCAAATCATATCTAATCATATAATAGATCATAGCAAATCATAACACTCCCCCTCAAGCTGGAGCGTACATGTTGTATGCTCCTAGCTTGCCACAAATGTGTTTCAATTCAAGGCCCTCTTAGAGATTTAGTAAGAATATCCGCCAACTGACCATTTGAATTGATGAAGGAGGTAGCTATGCATCCGGACTCAATCTTCTGTCTAATGAAATGAAAATCTATCTTTATATGTTTCATTCTTTCATGAACTATTGGATTCGAAGCGATATATGGTGCTGCTTGATTGTCACATATTAGTGTCATTTGTTTCACTTCTCCACATTTCAATTCCTGAAGAAGTTGCTTTAGCCGGATAAGTTGACAAGTAACTAATGCCATAGCTCGATATTTTGCTTCTACACTTGATCTAGCCATAGCATATTGCTTTTTTACATCTCCAAGATATCAAATGCCCTCCAATTATAACAATATGCTGAAGTGGATCACCTATCAAAAGGAGAAGTTTCCCGGTCAGCATCAGAATAGCCAACCACTTGTTTGTGACCTCTGTCTTCATATAGCAATCCTTGTCCAGGAGCTCCTTTGATGTACTGAAGAATGTGTACAATAGTATGCCAATTGCCATCACAAGGACATTGAAGAAATTGGCTAATCACATTTACTGATAGTTTAAAGGACCTCATCATCTAACTAAATACTATGATTAGCTTTCTATTAGAAAAAATTCTTCCCTATCATATTCCAAACCAACTTTATGTTGAAACTTTGCTCTAACCAAATTCCCTACTACCATTTTACCTTGCTATTCAATGTTATCAGTCATATAAACAAATATTTTTTTCATTCCATTGTTTTAGCTCTCTGTGTGCAGAAATTTTGCGTTTCAGATATAATAAAAAAAAACTTCAAAAAATGAAGGAAACTTGTCATAACTAGTAGTGAGGAAGTGTTAGGATCCTAGTTGCAAGACATGGTATGGGACTTGTCTTGGACCCACATTGGAAGTATGGGATTTCATTGCGAGATTTACATGAACTTTGGCTCTCCAACCTCAACAGCTAGCTTTTGAGGTGTGGTTCTCCCAAGGTCATAACAATTAGTATCAAGCCAACCATTACTTCTCTGAGTCATGATCGAGCAGCACGGGTGGTGACACTAGAATTGAGTGTTCGCCTAGGCTAGGAGGTGACGCGGAATTGTAGTTCTCGCTCATGGCTAGTAAAAAGAAGGAAAAAGAATAGCACACAGCCACCTAGCACAAATCCAACCATGATGGACGCAGGGACTGCGGTGTGCGGTGGGACATTAGAATCCTAGTTGCAAGACAAGGCATGGGACTTGTCTTGAATGCCACATTGGAAGTACAGGATTTTAATGTAGGTTTATATGAACTTAGGCCTTCTAACCTCAACAGCTAGCTTTTGAGGTATGGTTCTACCAAGATCATGACAGAAAGCACTAAAGCAAAAAATTTCTGAAAAATGGGAAGATTTTAAAAGTCTTGATACAGCATTAAAAACAACTAAAAAACAGCTAAATTCAATTTTGGTGAATATTTGAGGTGCGCAATTGTGCGCTCAGCCCAAACTAGTTGGAGTCAGCCATAGCTAATAGTGCTGTATAGTTACTTGGATGCAAGATCTAGTAAATTCAATTTCCCTTTCCAAAATAAAAATATTTGAGGTGTGCAATTGTGCGTTCAGCAAAAATTCCATTAATATAAGAATGAAAAGCATGGACAAAGGCGTCTTAATACCTTCAGAACTCTGAGCTCAATCTTGGTGATTTCGCGGCCATTGATGTAAACCTTTGTGGTTCCATGGCTGGCATCCAGCTGAAGCTTACCCCCAACATTAAGTTTGGAACTAATAATCCTATCAGGCTTCTCTCCCTCCTGAAATCCAACAAGCAAATTGGTATATATTTTTTTAAAAAATAACATCAACTCTGAACCAGATAAATATTTTTCTTGTAAAAAAATAATTCACCTTTCCCCATAGCCCTGAATCCTTGTCATACCAATACTTTCCAGGCTTCAAATTCTGAGGTGGGATTGGACATCCTAAAACCTCAGCCAATTCCTCTTGCCTAAGTGGCCTTCCGTTCACAATCAACTGCTCGGGTCTCAACTGATTAGCTGGACATTCTTTCTCCGCTTTCATTATCTGTCTAACCTCCAACGGACTGCACACTTTGGACAAGACTCTGGAACATTTACCAAGAGCAGACCTCTTAGACTCATCTATTGGATGCCCAATGCAGCTAACACATTTCCTCCCTTCAGGCATTGATCCCATGGCCTTAAGCAAGCAATTGCTACAGTACTTGGCATCGCATACCAAACATGCCTCTCTTTCTTTCAATCTATTTCTTTTCCCACACCTACTGCACACTCCTCTCTTCCTAGACCCTTTTGGGGGCCCTACAGCATCATTTGCAGCAGTTGACTGCGTAGACGAATATCCATCGTCATCCTCCGTTTCGGAGTCTCTCGGAGTATTAAATGTCACTACATTCGCACGCTTTCCCTCATCTCTCCCAAATGATGTAGTTTCGTCTTCTGATTCTGCCTCCTTTCCTGTATTTACTCCTGTTTCAATTGGCGGTCTCGAACTGCCCGACTCTTTAACTAAATTATTTGCATTTACTCCATTCCTAAATCGACTGAATTTGGAAATATTTTTAGCACTGATCGGAGCAGCCAAGGGAACAGAAAGATCCTTCTCATCGGAGACCGAGACTAGAGAAGAAGTGCGAACGGAGAGAGAATCGAGGTTGAGTGGATCAACACGCGGGACATCGTAAGGAACTGGAGGGCCTTCATATTCCACTGCTATCGAGTAATCGAGCTGCTCTTCGTCTGGCAATGGTGCACCCGCTGGTAACATCTTCCTCAATACTTCCTCCCATGTGTTTTCTTCTTCTTCTGTCTCTGCAGTTGCCATTTGCAACAGATGACTAGGTGGGTTTGAACGAAGGTAAAATATGGTTAAAGTACTTAGGTAGGAGTTGGCTGGAAGGGAGCAGACGGAATTTGAGTTACGGAAGACTTATCATTAACGGACCTCAGTCATGTGATTCCGTTTAAAAATTTAGCTAGGTTCGACGTGACATCCATTTACAAAATTAAGATATTTTAAAAAAATCTATATCTATCTAGATATATATATAATTTTGAAGTAAAAAATAATTTTAAAAAAAATAAGTTGGTACTATGTGTGAAACACCCTTAATTTTTATTTTCGAAACTTTTGAATTTTTATTAAAACAAAAATCTGAATTTTCGACTGTCTGGACTACAAATACTGTTTAATTGAATTTTTATTAAAACAAAAATCTGAATTTTCGACTGTCTGGACTACAAATACTGTTTAATTCTAATTCGAGCCCAAAGTTTACGGAGTGGGCTCAAGCCAAATCATATTATTAAAATGTCAGTGGGAGAACCTTTAGAAATTTTTTAAGAGTAACTAAGGAGCCATAATTATAAGTTATTAAAAATATATTGTATATGTGTGTAATTACTATAAAATTAATTAATATAAAAATCTATTAGTATTCTATTATTATTTTATCAAATTGAGGAAATGTTCTAGAACCTAACAAGAATCAACAATTAAATCAAAATCGATTAGAAAACCAAGCAAATCGAGCCGAATCATTTGAAATTAGACCAAACCGGTTTGAATCGAACCGGAATGTCTAGAAGCTCCACGATTTCTCTTTTTCTTTCTTTTCTTTTTCTTTTTTTTCTCTTTCTCTTTCTTCTTCTCCTTCCTGGCGCGCAGTACCGGCGCGAACCCCTCCTCCTGCCTTCCCTTCCCCATCAGCCACCGGGCCGAATCTAGTTAGCCTCCTCAACCAGCGGATTCCGGCAACCCTTCTCTCCTTTCTTTCGTTTCTGGCGGTACGCCAGGAAGGCGCAGGAGAGCCGCGACTCCTTCGATCGGAAATCGCGTGAGGCCTCCTGCTCCTTGATTATCCCTGATCTGGCAGACACCAGCACTCTCTCTTCGACGACGAAGCTTGGGTCTCCCTTGTATATCCTCCTTTCCCTTCCGGCTGACACAGCCAAGCTACGCGAGTGCGATCATGTTTGCGATCTGGACAGCGCTATCTCTTTCCTTTTTGAATTTCCGGCAATAGATAAGTTATTTTCAACCCTTTTCAAACAGTTCATGAATTTTATCCTGAATTAGAGAAGTGAAAAAATTAGAATTTCTTATAGCTACGGATGATGGTTAACTAAAGAAATTTGATAAATAAAAATATAAATGGAAGCTATAATTGAATTTACATATAAAATAGTAGATTATTGAATCTATTATGATTTTTGTAAGGAAATATGATTCGTTATTGTATGGTATTAAAATTGGTCGTTTGTTGAATCATTGTTTTTATGAAAGAAAACCTCATTGTACCATTTAAGCTTGAACTATAAAATGAAATGCGATAAGAACTTGAGAAAACTTTGAGAATTGCCGCATGCCATTTAATAATTAGCTTGAAACCAATTATTCAGGTATTAAGTGCAAAAGAAGTTATATATTAATCCTTGCAGCAATAAAGTTGGATATTGGTTAATACGCAAGTTTCTTGACGAATATATAAATGAAGGAATTAGTTTATAGAAATTGAAGGGTTGAGTAAGAACCTGATTTTTTTTTAGGATGGCCCAATATTGAGTGTTCCTATAAATTTTTGTAACGATTTGATGAAAATAAAGTTGTATTAAATTTTTGTAATGATTTGATGAAAATAAAGTTGTATATTAATTCTATAATAAGGAATGGAGTTAAGTAGTGTATAAATCATAAGTGTAAGTGGAGAACTTGAAGAGTTCTCATGGTGGCAGCAGCTGTGTGGAAAATTTGTTACTATTTGAGTTTCAGTAGGCCATGATTAGATAGTTTGTCTCAATTAATAGTTAGCTGACTTTTCTGTAATAAATAGTAGAATTCTAGAATCGTCTAAATGGTTACCGAATTGTTCAGCTCTCTAAATTGTAATATGAACAAAGATATGATGTCTAGCTAAAGATTTTGATAATATATTAAATTATGAGCTTAAACTTTTCTTAGGTATAGATTTGGCAAATAATGAGTTCAAGTTTTTTGAAAGTGAGTTGTTGAGCAAAGAGTAGCAAATAATAATCGTTAATTATTGGTATTGCTATGTAAAGGAGGATGGGCATTTGAGTTGATTGATTGCCCGATGGATGGGTTTGTGGATTGAATGAATACAGGGAGAGTATTGACATTATCTTAACAGGTAGATAGTCCAATTTTTAAGGGAGGTGCTGTCGAAATTTTGATAGAACTTAGACTAATTTTAATTAACAACATAATTAATAAGTTTATTTAGATTAGTTCTATAATTTGGTACATAATTAACTTTATTATTAAAATATTTAAATAGAGTGCTCTAACTATTTAATTATTTTCATATTATTTCATCAATTATTCAATTATTTATTTATTTATTTATTTATTTTCATTCATTGTGTTCATTGTTAATTTTTATTATATTAAGATATTTCATTGAGAATGATTGGTCTAATTGTGCATTTCATTTACGATGTTCAACTGATCAATATGTCTGGCATTTGATTGCAATGTTTTGATTAATTGGTGTTGTGAAAATGCTATGCTTTGTTTGTGTGGAATTGGATGAAGTGGACCACCATGGGTTTGTTGAGGACGGTCGGTGATATGGATCCTGAGTACGATATGAACTTGTACCGTTCGGCCTGGGAAAATGGGGAGATCGGCGCCCCCCGTTGTGCACCTGATGATATAGATTATATGGAAATTCACAGGATGGCTTCTTTGTTGTTGCGCACCTGATTAATCTAGATTTGATTGTAGCCCGCAGGGTGGCCTCCTGTTGTGAGCACTTGATTGATCTAGATTGGATGGAGACCCACCGGGTTGCCTCCTGTTGGTTATGGAAAAGCAAAGAAGAGAATGGAAAAATAATGAGAGGACTGGTCAGGAGGATTAGACCAGTTGGCCGTATGGGGATCGGCTCCCTGGTGCACATGTACGAGAGGGCGAGCCAGCACTGGTGAGGCGAGCTCGTTGGGGTTTCAGGTGGTGCCACTGACTAATTTCCACGTGATGTGATTTTTTGAAGGTGATATTGTTTGTTGAGTGCTGGGTTGACATGCCATTTGTGTGACTGGCTGTGTGAGCATAATAACTAGTCGGATGACTAGATTATATATATATTTTATACATTTGTGTGAAATGTCTGTGTGTGCAATAATAAATTACTCCTTAGAAAGCTCACATATCTTGTTTAATTTTTCAGGAAATAAGTTTCTCTAATTCGGTTAAGCTTATGTTCTTTCGTCGCAGAGCTAAAAAGAAAATTGTCACCTAGACCAATAAATATTTTGCTATGTATCTAGATGTATAAAAATCTATGTAGTATCTATGGAGTAGTGAATCCGCAGTTGTTAGAATTTATTACATTTAGTCGCTGTATTATTCGTAGACGAAATTGAATTTGTGAGCCCATATTTAGAATTTGTGATGTATTGTAAATTGGCCGAACTGGTTGGAATTTTGTAAGAAGATAGATTGGGCCGAGATGTTATAAAATCTTAAGGTTTATTTTTTTTGTAATATGGGACCGAATATTTAAAATTTTATTATTGAGATAGCTAATTTAGTGTTTCAGGCTTACTACGGGCTCAGGGGCCTTAAGCTTACCTGGGCCCTAGTGCCGGTCCGGCCCCATTTTTTTTGGGGAAAAAAATCGGGTCGTTGACAATGCTTGCTTTTAGTATTTTCTTTTTTCTATTTTTTACAAATTTTCTAAATTTTGATATACTTCCTTCAAATTTTTTCCTTTTATTTAATAAAATTTTATTTAAATTTGATTGAATTAGTTATAAAATTTTATCTGTTACCTTTAACAAAAAACAGTTTTTTGAAAATTAAATTTAAGAGCTGAAATATCTATGGAACTCATTTTATCTCTTTTCTGTTCATTATTTCAATCACAAAAATTATTCTTTTTAGTGCATACTGAGATTTATCATTTCTAAGTGTAAATGAATTTTCTTGTTTCATTTTCCTAAAATTTTTGTCCCTTCAATGAAGTTGGAGATTTCAGTGTCTTGTGAGATTAAGTTTTATCATTTCCAAGTGTAAAATGAACAATGGATTTTGCAAAACTTTGATTTTAAGCTTATCAAATATAGAGTTGCGGAGATTCCTGTGGGTTTGATACTTTTACTTTTGGTATTGTTCTATTTAGTATAATACTATAATTTTGAATATGTACATCTCTCTTTATCCACTATATATATAATATATATATATATATATATATATATGTATGCACTTGAATGTATTTATGAATTAGTAAAAGCATATTTATCTGTTGCTCACCTCTTTATTTTTAGTTTTTATTATGACTTACTTTATCATTTAATTTGAATTTCCACTTTTTAATTGTATAGTTAATGAAGATAATTCTCTTTTTTTTTTTTTTTTTTTTGTCTTTTCATTCAACTTTTGTCAATTTGAATATAATGATATGCCTAGTTAAAGAAATTTTATATTGCTTAAATTAAATTGAAAAAACTATTGGTGTTCAGTTCAATTTAGCCTATTGCTATGATTTACCTCAATTTTTTGATCTTTGTTTGTTTATTTGTTAAATTAACATATTAAAGCCAAAAAAATAAATAAATGAAATAAATAAAAGGCCTTATAAGCTTGATATGCCAAACTTAAAGTTTTTTTTCTAATCCTTTAGAATTTTTAATTTTTTAAATTTGTTGTGTTTATCACATGTTCAATAAGTAAAAATGAATAGTTTAATAATAAAAATCCTTCCACAAGCTAAAACGAAAGCAAATGAAAATATACGAAGTGGACCTTTGAAGAAGCTTAAGATTTGTCAGAAAGAAATGTTGGTTAATTCGCGAACATGTATAAAATCTCGAAATCTCAAAAAGTCACTGGCTAATCAAATTTTTAACTAAAAAAAATAGAT